ATATATATATATATATATATATATATAGATACGAAGTCTGAGGTAGAAGCGGTTTCGTATACTTATCAATATATTCTATGATTGTGTACATTTGTTTATTTATATGTATGTAAGCACTGGGTGAAGTCTGATCTATCGGTATTCTCCGAGTACTAGGTAAACAATTCGCGTCTGACAACTCAAAAAAAAACTCGCGTTTTTCCGCCGACGTGGCGACGTGGAAATAAAATAAAATGATAAAAAAAAACAGCGGTAATTAATCAGAGAAGGAAGGGATTTTGCTGGTGATATTCTCGCGTCCACCGAGACGGAAAGCAAAGTGAAGCCCTAATTTGCGTCTATGTTGTACGGAATTTCCTTTCATTATTACGTTTTTTTTTTTTTTTTTTAAGTAACCATGTTACTTTCTATGCATACATTAAAGAAAAGAAAACATAAACTCGGTGGGATACAAACGACGTGCCTCGTTTGGCCAAACAGAAATCGACGAACAGAATGATCAATCGGCCGTTACTACGAAAGGAGACAATTAACATCGCTGGACGAGAAACAATTTAAGAGTCAACGAAAAATCAAGACAGAAACATCAAACGTAAGGCAGTAAGACGTAAGCAGTAAACGAATTAGCCGATCGCAATAGAGAAGGCAATAGTCTTACGTTTCTTTACTGTGACTGGTCGATTTGCTTACCGTTTATGGCTTAAGTTTTTCTACGTTTTTACTTAAATATATATATATATTATAGCAACGAGAACATTTGCACGCGGTTTAACGTATGGGAAAAGGATTCGCATAAAGAACTCGAGAGAAGCGCGTGGACTCGCTATATACCTGTATTTATGTTATGCATAACTGTGCGTCTTTCGACTTTGGTCGTGCGGGAAAATCGCGAGAGAGATATCGGCGATGAGTCCGATAATTTCTAGGAATGCTCCGTTTCTCTAAAAAAAAATCGGTCTCCCAAACGGAAAGTTATTTTTAACTGATTTTTTTTTGTCGCGAAAAATCGATTTTTTTAAACAAAAGGGACTATTTTAGATCATTCAATTCTTCCTAAGGAATCACTTCTTTTTTTTCACCGAGAAGATCAGTTTCAAGTCTATCTTTTGCAAAAATCGATTTTTGGCTAAATCAATTCGGAGGTCACACATTCCTAGACTGATTTCCATGGCGAACGATCAAGGATTCGCGGTTGTAAATTTAACAAAGCGTTTGACACCTGGCGATATACATCGGAGAGAAGAGGTCTTTTAACGAACGAACACACCGACACAGTCCCTACTATACACTCAACTATTGCATCGCTTGATTCATTGATTTATGTTTATTAAGAACCTTATAGACTATTATACTTTGTAGTTTGTACTTGGTTTTCATATTCCTGAGAGAAAAGGATTTCGCGGCGCGCCGTACGCCGTGTCGATCGTTTCTCCTGGAGCGGAAGGGTGCTTGCTCGATCATTGACAGCTTTTCTACTAGGTTTTTTCCTTTTCTTTTTTTTTTTTTCACAATCTTCCTCCTTATTCCCTTTTCTCCCCGAAATGAGAGCGACGGCGACGGCGGCGGCGCGACGCGACGGCCCTATCCGATCTTGCAAACTATCGCTTTACCATGTTATACACAGAG